ATATAATGCCTAAAAATTAGACTGAAGATTGGTCTAGAATGAAGCTATGACATAATATAAAACTTTATCAATTAAAATGTTTTTTTTTTAGGATCCCCCCCCTCCCCCAAAAAAAAGGAAAAAATACCCTATGACGTTAGTCAATTTCTAAGCGTGAGTGAATCAACAATCAACAGGTATATGAAAATATTTTCATTATATTCTATATTTGTACTCTACCATTACAGATTCGCATCGAATCGTTTATTTGAAAGTGATTTTATTACTTTTAGTTGTAATAATTCATAATGATCCGTGACTCATCGTTCCAATGCTCCGTCCACACTACACTGGCTTTTTTATGTTTATTTTTTTAAATATATATTTTATTCCTCTACTGGAACACTGTTATTTTTTAGTAATTAAATTTGTTCATGCTGTTATGACGCTGTTATAAGCTTAATTACTCCTTTATTAAAACGAATGATTGTATATACTTATGAAGAAATACTAACTGATCCATTAAGGGCTATTAACCAGGTTGTCGCCATTAGTAGATTGAGACCCGTCGATGCGAAGAAAAACGCTGTAAAATAAAACGAAACATGCTTTTAAAATATGTTTCCTAGTTTGTTAGATTATCCTTCTCATAACATAGCCACACTATCTCAATATATTATTTTTTGTCTTTTCCATCTTTTACATAACATATCTATGTAGTTTATTTTGACTATCCTACACTCTAAGTAGTAATTTAAAAATTCGAAACTTATTAGCATTCCCCTACTGCCCCAAATAGGTTAATTATCGAATAGAGAAACCAATAAAAGAGTCTCGTCTTCTCAAGTTCACTAAGGTCACCCAGTGGAATACTAAAACACCGCTGAATACGCAATTAAAGGCTAAGAGTTGCGTTAGGGTAGTTTTGTGGAAATATACAACTGGTCGAAAACTTATTTTGAACAAATATTCTTCAGTTATTACAGTTTGAAGATATGGGCGAAGTGGAGTAACGCAAATTCAATTTATATAAAATTGTGGGTGAATATTGCACGTCCTACTTTAAAAACGTAATATCTCTGAAAGTAATAATAATAATTTTATTTATTTAAACAGTTGTTTTCGAGCACTCTTACTTTTCGGACAATCCTACTACAACTTCAAAAAATGTGGGGTCGTTTAAAAATCCAAGGTTGGTGGTTGAATAAGGTAGTAGAAAAACTGAGAAGACATACAATCTTAAAAATTATATCAATTTAAGCGATATCTATAGTTTTTAACAAGTTTTTGTAAAATCAGTTTAAATCCTGAGCCCTAAATCTTTTGAGGGCTGTCTGATATATATTCAAAAAATCTCCCTAGCCTCGCACATACGACCCGAGAAAACCGGTCTGAATACGGCCCTTTATATAGTGTATATATGTTCGTATGTAACAAGTGTAAATGTGTTGCTTACCTAATGCGTTGTCAGATAACATATGTAAACATACGACTATTGATGAAGCTGACAAGAACTGCAACATATAAAATTGTGTCTTATTTGTTATAAAACAACTTTAAATCAATTATAATTAATAACTATTAAACGAATTTATTAAAAGCTTAAAATTAGAATTAAAAAAATAAAACAATACTATATATTATAATAGTTAGGTAAGTAAATAATATTAAACGGTAAAATAAGAAAAATATTTAATACACATTTTTTTAAGTATTAATATTAGTTCACAAATTAAATTTAGTTTAAAACTGTAATTAGTACACAGCACGTATACAGTACATGTTTTTGTTTTTTTAATATTCTTCAGTTTTTAAATTTAACGTGTTATCTATGAAATACTTGCCACAAATGTGCCTGCACATATCGAAACCCAGTTCTGTAATGATGCACCAGCGATAAAAGGGGTCATTAATATTTCTTATACTAGTTAACCAGTGTTCTATTAGTAATTCCGTAAATTATCAAATAAAATATTTTTTTACTTAAACAAAATAAAATAAAAATCTGAATTAAAGTCGGAGTTGTATATTCACTTCCTAATAGAACCGTTTATATTAAAAACAAATACCTAATTGCTAAGGAAAAACAAATCGATTTTAACAACAGCTGATATTTTGAAAGTATTTGTGAGTTGTAAAATGCTATAAAAATAATACCAATGTATATTTATACATATTATTTCTATACATATTCAAATAATTCACTTTATAACCACAACTGTATAGAAATGTCAAATGATCTATTATAGTGTTTAAAACTGAACAGGAACATATTATTGATTTAAATGTTCTTACTTTAATGTTTTCACATGGTTACATTGCATTATTTTGTTGCTAGAGTGCGTGACAAATACCAATTAATGGAGGACGGTTACTTTCGTAATTTACGTGCATTAACTATGAGTTTTCAACCCTCTTATTTTGTAATTTGCTTATAAAAATAACTCACTACGTACGTCGTATGATATCGTTTTACAGTTTTGGTGAAATTTTGAGAATCTACGAACGTCTACAGGTTATTTTGTAGATGGTCACAAATATCAATATAAAACAGAAACTAAAAATGTCAGTCAATTTATTTTACACCATAATAATGTTCACTAATAAATACGTAGAATGGAAAAAAACAAACAAATCGGTCCACTAAATACCGAGTAATTCAAAATAGAAATAAATAGAGTGCACCGAAAACATCGACAAAAAAAGTAGACAAATTTAGTAATAAACCCTTATAAATGTGACCTAGACAGTTTATTTTTAAATCAAGGTCATTGGAATATGCAACAATATTATTTCTAAGTTACCAATAATTGAAAAAATATTTAGTCAAAAAATAAGTAAAAATAAATGCTAAGGTGGGTTTTTTTCCGTACCACCGTGACGAAACGCTTTTTTTCTGGTGGGACATGGTATCCCATCGTGCAGAAAAGAGATAGTGTGTAAACAGTAATAACATAATTCTTGCTTCGAAGAGAGCGACTGCTTTATTTCAAGCATTGATAAATACAAATATTTAATATAATCGTTAACCATTTTTTTTTTTTTTATGTAATATACTTAATTTATAGTTTTAATTATTATTAAGCATAGTTGTTAGTTTACATATTATATTAGTTCTTAGCTTTGCCTAAACTCGGACTTTGTTTAGACTATTTAGGATATAATTGTATTGGGGAACGCACACGTTGCTCGGTCCTAGCTTTACACAATACAGCTGGGTTTCGTACACTAAGTCGGTAACAAATCCCCATAAGAAACTTCGCCAATCTTTATTTTTCACGGAGTTTCGTATAAAACTACTTTTGCCAAAAAACTACCTACAAGTAAAAACGTTATTACTTTCATATAAACATACTATTTATTTATCAATAGATAAATAATTAGAGATACGAACAAAATCCGTACTATTACTATTTTTTTTTTATCACAGATTTTCTCGATGGATGAAATACGTTTTGCTCTATTGATGACAATTGCGTGTTTTTGTATCCGGCCTAATACAATCACTTATGATGGTATATAAAATATATTTTGAATCACTAAAAAAAATTGAAATCAGTAAAATCCATTTTAGGATTTTTAAACCATTAAATATTTTCTATTTAATCATATCGGTAAGTTAGTTTTTTGTATTACTTACTGAAATTGATTAAATACTATTTGAATTATATGTGATCTAATAGACAATAATTAATGGAGTAGTCATTTTTTACAGTATTTTTACTAATTAGAATGTCAACAGATTTATTTTAGGTGTAATAGAAATATGTATTTTATTTTTTTTTTTACTTGTCAACTACCTTTCTGCAAATAAAAATGTATTATCCTAAAAATTTAATTAGCAGCTATTTATAGGTACACTAACAATATTATATCATCATCTAGGTTAGAATAAATATTAAGACGCATATACACATGGCCGGCGCATTCTAGTGGTTGTAGACGTGATAACCCGTGTTGTTTGATAAAAGCTAAATACAGATAGTTGTCATACTACAAGTATGAAATAATATAGGTACAAATTTATATAATAAGTTTTGTAATATTTATTATAGGCATGGAAATAATTCAGTCGTATAAAATATCTTTATTATTTAATAATAAGTATTAGATTTAAAACACACAAGACGGATTCATAAACATGTAACGGTAACGCGATCCATACACCCTTCACTGTATAATTAATATCTCCTCTCGACCGCCATAAACAACCCTTACATGTATTTCATTGATTTTTAATAAACCGACGGCGCTGTCACTGATCTTAAATATGTTATACGACAGAAACAGATTTTGATTTTCGAAACCTATAAGAGTGTAAAAAATCCCTTCAGAATCATTCTCATATCTTTAGGTATTTAGTCGCTTGCTCGTAATCGCTGGTCACTTATTATTTTATTTTTAAAAAAGGTTTTTTTTCATTGCATAACATAAACATTGCGGCACGCGCGTCTTTTACACAAGGGAAATAAGAGTTTTTTTATTTATTACTATTATACAAAATCAACAACATAAAAATCATACTATTAACTTCTTATTATTTATCAAACATATTACCTTTTATAATAGGGTTTAAGCACTCGAGAAGTATTTATTAGGTATCAACTTGCACTTCAAATTGGATTCGTGATTTGTTAACGCTAGCATGAATTCAGTAGTGTATTGGGGGAGTATTTATTAATTGTCTAGCAGATGGCCGATATATTACGATCAAATTGATTGTACAGACGTCATCGCTCTGATATTAATATAATATTAATGTTAATATATTATAATAATGAAAAAATGGATAAAAGAGGAGGAGTATTGAGCTTTGATGTTATAACTATTATGATACGTGATTAACCAGGTTATGGCTAATAGTACAGCCGATTAGGTAGTTAATTGAGTTTTGTGTGAGCTATTGTTTCTAAGCTGCAGAAGTTATACTATGTTATATTTATATATATTTTTATTTTGATATAATAATTATAATGTAGGTCCTTGACACAAATTGTATAAAATAATATTTCTTGCTGAATTTATGATTCCTGATTTCTCCAAACGGCAGCTGGTAGAGGTTCTATAACAATAATTTAATCCAGTGTTTGTGAACACTACTGATTATTAGATTACTAGACTGTGTGTGTACCTGATATAGTGACTGAAGTTTTTTTAGACTCAGTCTGTTCAGCACTTGATTTTTGTTTTTCTTCGTCCCTTGGTGAATACTACAACATACATTTCCCCATGCTTTAATTAACTTAAGCTTTATACATAATACGTTTAAGAACAATAATTGTAATTTAGAATATACATCAGGAATAATTTTTGATAGTTGATTAATTGTATTTTTTTTTTGTTTGATCATCGCAAGACCTTCATTAAAAGTTTTTTCATATGTTTCTACGTTTGATTTCTCAACCAAGTACTTTTGACGAGATTTTTCTACAACAACGAAAATTAAGTTATTTTAGATTATTCGATTTACTCTACGGTCTGAGCTTATTGTTAATTATATAATTACAAAGTAAGCAAAAATAACGAAATCAAGAACAATAAATGAGTAGCTTTTTTTTATTTGTATGATATCTAGGTACAGCAAATCACTAATTGCGACGATCTCCCAATTATTTTACCTATTCAACTGAAAAGTTCATTTTATTCGGTTTTTAATTACTTGTCATGTCGTGTTTAAACGTTAAAAATCTCTGTCATAGTAGTTTCAGCCGCAATGTCTTACATATTCTCATATTCAAGTAATCAATTACTCTTAAAGTAATCATATTATAAACAAAAGCTAAACATTATACATTTTTGGTTTAACCACTGACAAGGTATATTTTGATTGGTTACACCGATTTAACTTTATAGTTATAATAAATGTTTTTAATGTGTTACATGGTATGACTTACTGTTATAATTTTTCATGTTCACCAACACTGAATCGATATTGGCTAGAATGTTTACCAATTGTCGATTTGACGCTTCGAGAATCATGCAATCGGCTACAGAAATATTATCTCTAATCTCTTGTAGAGATGTGTACTTCTGTCGAAGCTCTTTGAGCTTAGAAATAGCGGTTGACAATTGTACACGAAACTTACTTAACTTTAAATCGGCTATTATGAGACGCTTTTTAGCGAATCGAATGTATTTTTCACCTGGTATGCGTTTAGTCAACTTATCATAACCAGACAACAATATTACAGACCTAATAACACAAAAAAAAAAAACAAATTAATAGTTTAAAAAATAATGTAAATAATCTCAAAAAATGTGTAAACTCTGTTTATATTTTTTCAGTATGTAATCTCAAAATATCAAAACTCACTCCTGATCCATATGAAACCACCATTTACTATAGAAAATAAATAAGTAAACAATATAAAATATGTGTAAATGTAGATAATATTACTATAGGTGTAATAAGATATGGAATGCTCATAGATAGAAAAATGGTTTCAACTTTCATAATTCAGCGACGTTAATTGTGACTGTATTTATCTTTCTAATAATTTATCCATTAATAAAAAAGTGTAAAAAAGAGTATAAATCAAATTTTTTAAAATCTTTTTTTATCTTATGTTTATAATATAATAAAAATAATTTTAATTTTAAAAAATTATATCATTTTCAATAATTCTATTAACAAATTAATTTTAAACGTTGAATCGAAAAACTTAGTTTTTATTTATGAATGTATCACCTATATATATTATTATAACCGTTAACAGAACATTTGGACTATTACGCTTATTTCTCTATAATGTGTATGAAATAATGACATACTTATAATTTTCAACATCCTTAATAATTTCATGATGACGGGCTTCTAAATTTTCATGAATGTTGTACAATTTTTTCGAATCTTTTAGTAGCTCTCTATAACGTTTATCGTAATCCATATCCATCGAGTCGAGAACACTTGTCAAAACCGGAATTTTGTGTTTTGTCGTTAACCTTATTGTTGTAAATAATTATAAGTTAAATTTATATTTTAAGTGAAAGTACAATTACGTTACGTATATAATTAAGTATTAACCAGAGAGATTAAACATCGTCCACATGTTGATGAACTTTTCTATCAAAATAAACATTGAAATATATTATCCATCAGATACAAATCAATAAGTGTTTAATAAATATTAGTTCATAGAAATTACCAGAATGTGATAAGCTTAATTTGTATTTAACACAGATTATATTGTCAAATTAAATATTTTTAAAATGTTAAGTAAGCGTGGCTTTTATATTTCCCCTACAAATCGTTATTCTAGCCATAAAAAAGGCTTATTTATTATCATTTTAGATAAAATTTGTAGGTATGTATCTGAATTAGCTGTTATAAATTGAGTTATTAAAGATACATAATTCAAATTCCTAATGTAAAAATCTAAAATTATTTGAAACTTAAAGTGTATTAAATTTTTAAACTGCAATAATTGTTTTGTTCAGTATTGTTATAAATAAATATTTTTGATATATTATTATTTGTATTTAGATAATTGGTTTTTAAAAATATTTTTTAAACTTTATATAATATTAGTAGCTATGTTGTATTTATAAATCTGAATTTTAAAAGTGCCATCTCATAAATTATTACTACTTTCTGAAAATAGATTTCTAGTAAATATTTTATGAAGCTTACTTAGTTAAATGTATTTTCCTTGTTATGTGATACATACTACCCGTCATCTCAGACACTACTGACATCCGTCTTTTGAATGATTTTTTTACGCTATTCTCTTGATCGATCTCTGTTTTTTTCGGATTTATATCATAGGGCATCCACGAAACATCACTTAGATCTTAAGTCAAAAGCATCAACTTAAAATAAATATTATAATTGATTAATTATTATGACAAATTTACTATCGGCATATTCAGGGCATATTTTTACTAAAAACATTTCTAACGCTTCACATTCATTTTGCAGGCTAGAGTTCGTGTTTTCAAAAAATTGTATTTTGACTTGTACTTGCTCAATTGTACATTCTGAAGAAAAATATACGAGATTGAAAACCCAATTTGTGCTTATTAGATTTTTAATTAAAAATGTTTTATGTTTTAAATTAAAAACATTTTATGGTTTATAGAATAATTGTTCTGTACACATTTTTTTGCATTTACTAAAATATCAACAACGGGAGAAACAATTTTCAAAAGTGTTATATTTTTTAAAAAAACGTATAGAGACTATGAACCAGTAAAAACTTTAGGTCGTAGGGCGAATGTATGGACAGGTATTTTGACATCTAGTATTTTAGATGAGCAATTGTATCAATTACAACGTAAATAATATGTAATACACTTCCAATGTTGCATGTGTATATAGCGACAGCAGTTGACGCGTAGACATAATAATATTATGTTCTTTCCAGCAAACGATTATGGTATCGAGACTCGTGCTTTCTTTTTTATTATAAAGGGTTATTATACAGTGCTTGACAGAATAAAAACTATGCTGAAAATATCTGTCAAAACAGGGTTTGTTGTACAGCGCCAGTACCCGGTGTTGACACGCCATCGACCAAGGTTGTCGGGTGTCTAATTTTGTATAGGTATAGTCAGCTAAAATCATATGGTTTTTGCATTGCGTAAGGAAATAACCATCGGTCCACTTTTGACCATGGACCCTCCTAGTAGTTACAGATTCAAAATGCTTCAGGCAGCGGTAGACTGGGTCGGAGGGTGACTGGAATATTTCTCTCGGACCCTTTAAGGTTTCAGACCACTTGACCTTGTTAGCTGAATTATTATTTTCTATATAATAGACTAGATGAGTATGGCTGATTTTTGTATAATTAGTGTGCCAAATTGTATAATAGCCCGGGTCGATATTTTACCCCAATCCGTCCCCGATTTCAAATGTGTACGACTATAATATTTGTTAATTGTAAAGACAAACAAAATTGTTTAGGCTTTTACTAGCTTCTACTACGAATTTAAATCGATGCCATTGAACAAGAACCTAAGTTTGATAATCTATTTATTAAAATTGTTTTGTGAATCCAAATATAGCAGATTTTCTGTAGCTCATCTTATGTACCTATATATATATTATATAGTACATCTATGAAGTTATTATTTAAATCCTTCAAAGTTGGAAAACTTTCAATTTATCGTATTTACAGCATGTTTTTTAATTATAAATAATTTTCTAAAATTTATTTAGAATATATTTTATTAAATTGTCTTTACTGAATACAAAACTAAAGCGTCAGAGTAAATGTACATTTTGTAGTAGGAATTTTTTAAAAATAAGAGAAAATTAGAAAATTTTAATTTTATCTTAGTGAGTTGTTTACAAAGAAAATACTAGACAAAATCTGAGATCAGATTCAAATTCAGCAATAAAAAAACTCACAAAAAAAAATTGGGTTTTGTAAAATATGGTTTGTAATAAAATACATATATAATCTAAACACTTTAAGGTTACTGTCATAATCTACTACCTTAGTTTTTAAAAACAATTTTTAAATACAAATATTATTTACTTACTTTCCAGTGGGATTTCGCTATAGGGTTCTGGTTCGTTTTTCAAATTGTCAAAAAAAACCATGGATACTTTGCTCTTAGTATGCATGATTGGTATTCGTTACTCTACTTACAAAAGTAACTTTTACTTTAATTAAAATATATTTATTTAGCTTATTCTACATTAAATATCTAAGTAATAACTTTAGGTGTATAGTAATTTGTTTATATTTAACTCGATGTGATTTCCTATGACAATCGGATATTGATATATTATATTATTCAATTAAAATTTTAAAAAAATGATTCAGACAATCTTTTTTGACTGTAATATTTTAAATGTTACATTACTTTATAATATATTTTTTTAATAGTATTTACTACAGTTAAAAGATAAAATGGATTTTTTTTTTCTTAAAAGACGAAACAAAAAAAGAGAATTCTTTAATGTAAAAAAAGATTAATATTTAAAACCCTTAACCATAAAATAATACACTATTGGCGTTTACGTATTTCGGCAAAAATGTTGACATTTTCATCGCTAACGACAGACTGAGGTCTTCTCCTTAATTAAATTAAATATTAATTTCTTTATTATATATAACCATAAGTTGTTAAGTTTTTTCTAGATTAAAAAAACATGTTTGAAAACATACTTAGAAATTCAGTACGTCAAAATGAATTTTGGGACACCAAAAACGTCATTTTAAAGAAAGCGTTTTTAGCTCTTAACCATTTTATTACCAATTGTAATGCTCTTGACTCATCATCATGAGTTAAGATGACTAAAATGGATTTAATTAAAATTCCTTTTGCATTCCTCGAAGCCAAGTTTCACTTAAATAAAAATCATTACTTTTATTAAACGTATTTAATAGTTGTTGAGCATTATATACAAATAGAAATGTTACTTCTATGTACAAAATGTAATTTTACTAACATACAAATTAAATATCTGCGTATCAGAGTGTAAAATAGCAAAAAATTAATAGGGGCATTTGTATATTTTTTAATTTTATGTTATACTTTATAATTTATACGTTCATAAATGTAATTTTTAATTTCATTAACTATTACCCCAATATTCTATAAGAAAACCATTATTATGTAAATTTATACATGCAAAAAAATTGGATCACGTGGGATAATTTAAAATAAGTGGATAAAATGAAACAACTGTTTTCTATAATAATCTATTTAATATTATAGATATATGAGTTTATATTTAACTAAGGGTTTCGACAATCCCCACTTGTTATCGATATGGCACTTAATACTAAATTTATAATTTGTATGCATTAAATTCACTTTTGTAATTCATATATTAAAATTAAAGAAAATATTTGATAGACTAAACATTAAAGTTATCCCAATATCTTAAAACTTTTTCTAAAAATTATATTTATAAAATGTATGTATTTAATATTTTGTTATAAGTTGTATTACACATAACGTAAGCGGTACCTAAAACCAATTATAATAATTAATCACCAAACACGATAAAGATCATGCTTTCATGA